TGACTGATGAAGCCGTGTTTCGATTTGACCACCGCTGGCTATTTTCCAACCTGATCAATCCTATGTCAGATAACACTGCCCTTCAAGGAAGGCGATGACTAGCCATACGTAACACATGTCCTAACCACCTAAATCGATGTAATTTCACAGCCTCGTCGATTGATTTCCCCTCCTTACCTAGAACTCGACCGAAGCCTAACCTCAATATTGCTCACCTTATCATACCACTTCACACGGGAGATAGAACGCAGTCATCTATGATCAAAGACGGCTAGCCTCTTCATGTCTTCCACTCTCAATGGCCAGATCTCACAGCCAGTCATAAAGGAGGACGGAGCGGACTGATGAGCAGTACACCCGCCCTTAGGTCGATAGCCAGTCGGATATCACGCCTACGCCAGAGGCAGCGGAAACTAGCAAATGCGAAACTAACCCTCGGTATCCGTGCGGAGATTTCGTCAGAGATCAACCCGTTGGCACTCGCTGATGATACTTCCCAAATAAGTGAAGCGGTCAACGTGCTTTACCACTTCACCCACTATTTCTAAACTAGGACTCAGTGTAGTCCAGTCCTGTACCATCATCTTACATTTGATGGAGGGATCGAATCGCATGCCAAACATTCGTAGATTGCAGCTCAAAGTGTTCAGGAGACTCTGCATTTTGTCAGTGTCCTCGCCTAGAAGGACTATATCGTCTGCATATTCTAAGTCAACGAGATTATTCCTTGGTAGCAAGTCAATCCCTGAGTCGCTAAAGTGAGTTAGGTTTCAATCCATTGGTACCTCTATGATAAAATTGAATAGAAATGGGAATAATGGGCATCCCTGACGGACACCACTAGTCGTCACCACTTCAGGTGACAACTAGCCATAATCCCTCACCTGGATGACTACATGAGTTCGAGTAGATTGCCTTAATCAGTGCAATGTCGTTTTTCGGCATTCCATTCACAGGTAAGCATCTCCAGAGAACCTCTCGGTCAACAGAATCGAATTCCACCTTTAGGTCAAGAAATATAATGATTGTTGGACGCCGGTAAGAATGCCTATGTTCTAGAATCTGTCGGAGGGTGAAGATATGATCAATACACCCTCTTCCTGGTCTAGAGCCTGTCTGGCTCTCTCGTGTTTGTTCCTCCCGAGCACCACTCAGTCAACGCATGATTATTGAGCCTAGGACTTTAGATACTATATTAGTCAAGCTAATCCCTCTGTGATTATCACAGGAAGACTTGTCTCCCTTCTTGTATATCGGGATGATCAGTGACTTACACCAAGCCGATGGGACTTCCTCTGATATCCAGACGCTGCCTAGAACCTCAGTTAACGTAGAGAGTAAACTGTCTCCGTACTTAAATACCTTTGGGGTCATTCCATCAGATCCTGCTGCTTTGCCTTGTTTCAGATTAGTGACGGTTGCTATCCTCAAGTCCAATCTTCCCTCTTTACAGGCCTTACTACCGACTCAGCGTGGCTTAGAAGTGCGTAGGCCAAGGACCCATCTTCTCACCAATTGTGTGGTTGGCGCGCGTCCTACCGCTGAACCACCAACGCAACTGATGTACAAAATAAATATACGCCAATGCTAAAACTATGTACTGAGAAAAACTGAAGAGTGAAGTATATTGTAGTGTAATGTTGGGTGGTTGGTGGCAATCGGCTGTAGGTGTCATCATATTACAAGCGTGACTGATGGAATTCAGTCAGCATCGACACTAACGGCTAAACGATGGATGACACTCGTTACGTCTAAGTGATCAGGCAGTGTACATAATAGCATGATTTGCAGCTTTATCATAGCATACCCACGTGAAGTTGATATATGAGTTGTTTAGTGTGGGTTATTAGCGTAAGCATTAAGGATAAAATCTAGCCCTAACGGCCTCAACCTGGAAGCCTAGGCAGTATCATTAATCCTCACACAATAAGTGCGGTACATGGGGGAAACTACTGTGGCTGACTGACTTCTAACCAAATGTAAATACTCTGCTAATGTGATTAATGAAAAGTGGTTAACATGACCGCTTCTTAAATCTAAAGCTGGAAGTAAGTCAATAACTAGAGTGGAATATTCTACACTTACTACCCATTTGAAAGGCTTCTGACAATAATTATACAGTCACACAGAAAGACCCTTTACTTCAACAACTAACATTCTTTGTGACCATAAGAGAAAGTATGATACTTTCCCCAAATGCAGTAGAGTTCTAAAACAAGAATTACAAGAGCTGCCGACTGCTTTTACCTTGTAAGATATCAATGTGCCGCATAATTCTCTTAAATGCCACTTAATTACACAAACTGACTCTTAGCCAGAGGTCTACTTCTTGCGGATATGATTGTCGCATTTGTCTATCATCTAAAGCTAATATCAGTAAGGATTGCAGATCTTCATAACTGTGAAATTATTGTGGAGATCCATAGTGTGTTTTTTTGGCGCAAAGAGATTCGTTGTGCTGAAGTTCCTGTAGCAACTTCGTTTACAGGGTGGAATTGCTAGCCTCACGCCTGAGAAAGGAATTGTTACATTAAGATAAAGTTTAGAGAGAAGCGACCTTTTGGATTGCTCCCCTTAAAATCGGAAAACAAGGGATAAAACAATCAGAACAACACCAGCCAAGTAATCCACAACGGGAAACTTACGGAAGCCCTCGAAGTGGGGACGAGAGTGAGGCAAGGCTGTCTACTATCACCAATGATCTCCCTGATTGCAGTAGATTGGATATTGCGACAGGCAACGGGCAGTGAGGAAACAGACATAAAATGCACTCACACAAAAAACTTGGAGGATCTGGACTTCGCCGATGATATATGTCTGATTTCCCACAAACTGGAAGATATGCAAGTGAAAAGCAACAAGCTGGAAGAAGAAGCATCCACAGAAGATAGGACTTCAAGTGAACATAGATAAAACAGAGGTGATGAAGATTCTTGGCCAACACCAACAGCAGCAACAACAACAACAACAGACATCAATCAGCCAGCATTAATGGGAGGAACCTGAAAGAAACAACCTCATTGACCTACCCACCTACCTGGGAAGCATCGTTTCAACTACAGGCCGACGGGACTGACGAGAATATCAAAGCAAGAATCGGAAAAACAAGACAAGCTTTCATTACTCTGAAGTCTGTGTGGAGGTCAACACCACTCACCATCAAAAATAAGATCCGGATTTCCAACTCCAATGTAAAGTCAGTCAGTGCTACTCACTATACGGATCAGAGACTTGGCCAGCGCGTCATAAAGAGCATCTCAAACAAACTTCAAACCTTCATTAACAGTTGTCTTCGCTCAATACTCAAGATCAGATGACCAGCCAGAAAAGATCAGCAACAGGGAGGGATCTCTGGCAATGAGTACACCAACCAGGAACCGATTGCGAAACAAATAGGAAGGAAGAAATGGAGGTGGATGGAGATGGCCATACGCTGAGGAAACCATCAAGTGACATCACTAGACAAGCCATCGCTCGAGTGGAACCCAAAAGGGAAGCGGCGAGTTGGTCGTTAGTGCAAGGGTGACTTAGAGGAGGTCATGTGAGGAGGAGATGAAAGCATGTGGGCAGGTTTGGAGCGGTGTGAAAAAGTTGGCAGAAAACAGAAGGCAATAGAGATGCGCAGCTGAAGCCCTATGTTCCTTTAGGAATTAAAGGATATAATCATAATAATAATAAGTGTTTTTTTTATTATAGCTTGATTCCACACCGTATTTCTGGTACAAGTATGGAGTTCTCAGCATGTGACATCGGTTGACCAAATTTTGCAGGCCAACCATTGATATCAGGTGTGCATTGGCAGGCGATTGAACCTCAGACCATGTGCATGGTCGGTGAGCGTCCTAACCGCTGTGCTACAGACGCACAGAAAAAGATTCGAATTTTCAATGCTAATGTCAAATTATTGCGACTATGTGCTTCAGAAACTTGGTGCACGCACTACAAAAAGTATTTTCAACAGCCTACTGAAGACTTTCAACTACGACTGCCTTCACTTCACAGTAAAGATCAAATGACCAAAAAAGATTAATGACAAGGAGTCCTGGTAACTAACATCTTAAGAACCTTCTGTCGATAAATATGCAGAAGGAAATGGAGATGGATTGAACATACACTGAAAAGATCATTGATTGATTTCATTCATAAGGAGCTCAAGTGGAACTTCGAATGAAAAACGATGAATTAGGCATTCTAGGATGATTACTGGAGGAGATTGTGTGTGGAGGAAATGCAAGGCACATGGATAAAAGTGGAGCCAGCTAAAAGTGACGGCAGAGAACAGAGTGAAGTGGTGATCTTCTGATGAAGCCCAACGTTCCACTCATAATTCAAGAGGATAATAATAAAATTATAATCAGTTTTGACAGTGTGTTACTATTGGTTCTTAAGAATTAGATTTGTTTTTATGAGTTGATCACGGAATGATATCAGTTAGAGAACCTTTGAAAACCAAGATGAAACAGCTGTCGAGTACACCCTGGTTTTCAATGGTCTTCTAACTGATATCAATCCTGGGAGTACTGGACAGCTGTTTCATCCTAGTTTGCGACTCTTCATCAGTACGCACCCACCGACAGGGTTCGAACCCAGGACGAGCTCATATACCATTAAGCCACTGGGACCCGATTCAATGGCCAGTTCATGAATTCTAACTTCTGCCAATCCACGATATAGCAGGACCGCTAGCCAATGTCTTCGGCGAGTATTTGTCTTCACACCCAACCTGCTGCACCCTACTGGTCACGACTTCTCACTAGAACCCCAGGTAACTAGTGAGCATCTCATTGTTATTGAAGTGTTGGTTTGTAGGGATTTGATTGGTTACACGATTTCATCATGAGCTGACATCAGTTAGTTAACCAATCGAATCCCTACAAACCAACACTTGAATGATAACAATCCGTTATCAACTCGTAAAAACAATGTATTACTGGTTCATATTCTAAGACTAATAGAATAATCAGTGGATGAAATTCACAGAAACGGCAATATTATCTTACTGATTTCTTCACAGGAAATACTACTTTTGATGAATCTTGTTGTTTTTGCTGTTGTGATTGCCAAATACTTCGTGAAACACAACCCTTGGGAATATCTTGATTTGGATTAGCACGTTCATACACAGAACCCTATGGATAAATATCAAAAATGAAAAACAATTAAAATAAGATAGAGTGCATGTTAAGTTAAAAAAACAACAGAATATCAGTTTGTCTACATACTACCACTAGTTTTTTATTAATTATACACTCGACAACTAGACATACAATAGCAAATACATGTGGGTAATTTTGTTTAATCATAATACCATCAGTTATAACAAACAGCAACACAACGCAGTGAACGTATGACACACAGCTGAGACTACACACACATTCACTAATACACGTACGTACATGATGACTAACATAGGTAAGTAAGTAAAGAGAAATGCGAAGCAATAACACTTAGAAATTACTGACTTCTGCACGTGGTAAGAAAATTCGTGCTTTCAGTAATCGAAATCCCTGTCTGGTGTTCTTATATATATATATATATATATATATATATATATATATATATATAGAGAGAGAGAGAGAGAGACAGAGAGATGGAACAGTGTGTAAACGAATCCAGACTACTATATATACCCACAAGATTAATCATTGGGATATGTACAATAAATATAATTACTCACCAACACGCAAAAAGAAGTAAAAAAAAGATAAGTGAAATATTTGTGTGTGGGGGAAGAAAACACTACACTATTAATCAACAAAACCTGGTGATTGTATTAATTACACTTAGGTAATTTTTCTTTTCTATGCAGAAATACGAAAACTGATTTGAAAGGTAGGTAAGACAAATACTGAAGCAGAAATAGTGTTGAACTTAACGGTCTACCGATAATAGTAATAATAATAAAACGTTCATCCGAAGAAACAGTTACACAATCAGGAATATGCTTTCAAGCACGACCGCCAAAATCTTATATATATATATATATATATATATATATATATATAGTTAAACGTGCCAGTTTCACTAAACATCACAGTAAATCTGAAGGACATTGGTCCGCTAAACATATTTCGTGCAGTCACTTAGGCACAAATTATTTCAACGTAGCGAAAATATTTATTCAGACTTCTATAGAAAACAAAATAATTGAGCAAAGAATATCCTTTTCGATAATTTTCTCTTCTGGCTCTGCAATTATATATATATATATATATATATATACCTAGAATATTCGAGAATAGTAGTCAGTAACAACATTAGTGTTTTTTAAATAATATCGATTTATTAAGTAAGATCAATCGAAATACAAGCGTCGGTGGCACAGCGGTTAGGACGCTCGCCGACTATGCACATAGTCCGAGGTTCGATCCCCGGCCGACACACTCCTTTACCTCGCTAAGCCAGAAATAATGCTGGCAAAGAGGAAAGGTTGGGCATGAGGCTAGCAACCCCATGCTGTAAAATTAAACACTGCTACAGAAACTTCAAGCCACTAGCTTGAGGCCCTATGTTCCCCTGGGAACGTGAAGGAAAAAAATCGAAATACAGTTCATTAAAGATGCTTAAATAATAATAATATAATAGCAAATAGAATGCCAACTAAAATTAAGGAAATTTCTACAAAACATTGAGGATCATTCGAACCCAGATGGCCAAGGTAAGGACAAAGTCTGAACTAGCGCTTCTTTTGAACACATAAATTAAGCTTCTTAATGTGAATCCCAACGGCCTCAGAGACATTTAGTAAACGAAGTCTTAAGGTGAAATTAAGATTTGTTGGTATCCGGTAAATTACTCTGAAAGCCTGGTTAACACCAATCCATGAGATGGGATAGCGCTACGAATAGATTTTGTTTGTCCTTTACTTAACCACTTTGCAGGGTGACTTTCGGAAATTCGACGAGAAACACGCCTAATTGTACGGCCTATGTAACTGGCTCCAAAGGAGCAGTTATTATTGACCACTATTCTAGATTATTTTATGTACATAAACATAGAGCCAGAAGAGGAAATTATCGAAAAAGATATTCTTTGCTCAATTATTTTGTTTTTTACAAGTGATCTCGCTACCTCTCGGTTTTTAGTTCATATTTATGCTAAATTAATCAAACTAACTTATTACCACAACGATGGACGCTACTTAATGAAATAAACGCCTCATTTAACAATTTTACGGTGCTTCACCATACATACCACCACATACCAACAGGAAGTGAGATGTGAATTAGCACACAGAATATGATAGTGAAAGTTTTGATCAACACGTTATTACTGAATCTACAGCTAGCTATCTGAGAGAAAGTATGGCTGGATTCAACGTCGTTTTAGTAATCTTTCGAGGTTAATAAGCAGGTGAAGTCCTAGTGCATCGAATAAATTGCCATACACAACTTTGGCGTGATCTTACCAACTACTGTTTATATTATCAAATAACTCTAGGAAGAATCAAAAGTAGAAACATACATCCTTATACTAATACTACTGAATTTAAATCAATCAACAAAACTTATTATCAAATTATAAGTGTATAAAAAAGTTTACAGTTAACACACATCTGAACAAGTTTTTTCAGAAGGAAAAAAATATTATAAGCGGTACTAACTTATAAAAATTTGCACAAAACCAAAGGATGTTTGTGAAACTGTATATAAATGGAAACCTTAATATCCTTATACCATTAGGATCACAGATATTAGTATAGAAAAAATTGATTATTCTGTATACGGCCTGTTTCATTTAAACCATTACGTCATCGTCCCCACACACATATACCCAATAAGTAGCATCTTTTGAAAGGATATAACAAGAGAGCAAAACTATCACTTGAGACAAGTAGTGCACACCTAATACACTGATAGGCATAGAGTTGTTATGAAATACGACACTTTACAGTGGACAAATATAAAACAAGTATTGGTTGTGTAGGGATTTTTGTTTGATTTTATGGAGGACTTTAACATGAGCTGACATCAATTAGAGAACGACTGGAAAATCTGGGAGTTTTTGATGATGAAAGCTTCGCAAATTAACCATACAGCTCAGAGAACAAAACCACATCAAAATCATCCACCTGAGCTACAAATCTTCCCAATCATAAACTATAGACTTTCATCAGTAGCTGTCTTCGCTCAATACAACTCAAGATCGGATAGCCAGTCAAAAAAGATCAGCAACTGGGAGGGATCTCTAGGAGTGAACCAACCCAGCAGGAACCGATTGTGTAACAAATGAGCAGGAAGAAATGCAGGTGGATTGACCATACTCTGAGAAAACCATCAAGTGACATCACACGCCAGGCCGTCGCTCGAGTGAAACCCGAACAGGAATCGGCGAGTTGGTCGTCAGTGCGAGGGTGACATGGAGGAGGTCATGTGAAGAGGATATATATATATATGTATATATTTTCTTTTCCTTCCTTCCTTTTTTTTGATCTATGTTGTTTTATTATTATTGTGTGGCGCATCCTTCTTGGTGCCATATTGTACCAAGTTTTTTATGCGTTTAAATAAATAAATAAATCTTACGTGAAGACTTAGCAGTCACTAACCCCTTATGTCTGTTCAGCTGCAGGCATATAAGTGCACCAACTAGTGCATAATGGAAAATGACGAAAGTGTCCTAAAATGGATGGTTACATTCTGTCAATAGTTTTTTAGCAAAGTGATTGCTTTGTGTCTAGTGTTTGTTCATTACATGAGAAAAATTTTAGGAGACGATCATCATTGTTGAGTTGTCAGTGTTGGAACCAAAAGACATCCACAACATGCCTTCCTGTTTGTTTTAACTTCCTTACTAAAGAATTAAAATTATTCATTTCCATTTTATCACCAAGTTTGAAAGGTTCCGATAAAACATGTCCTTCACTTCATTAGAGATGTAATCAATGGGTGCTTGAGCGGGGTTTATGGAAGCCATGGACGAGTTTTACTACCTTAAATATTCCTTTACATATATTCAGTCGGAAAGCACACAGATCAAATTGAGCAGTGAGTTTTCCGCTCTTGAACTTAGTGCTATCCTTACACCAAAACATCCACGACAACTAACAAAAGAATCTGGTATTTGTAGGGTAAATTATGTGTATTCATCATGTCAACCAAGTTGGGGTCTAGTGAATAACCTTACTTGTCCTAGAGTCACAGCTTGCATCTAAAGCCTTAGTTGTCAAAGTTATGGCTACGAATATTTGTTGGGTTGTTTGACATAGCCTTTGGATGTTGGAAGGTATGATGTAAAGTTTCCAGTACAGTTTCACGTGACTGAAAAACGGTGTTTCTCTGGTTAGAGTCGTTAGCAGTGATCACAGAATTAAGAAAAGGTGAATAAACTGTGGGGGGAATAATATTAACTATATTGGTAAAGCATTCTCATATTAAAAACGCGTTTTTTTCAAAACATCAAGGAAGAGTCGATACAGCCTTGAGGAGACTCTTTATTATCCACACAAGTCTTCAACAGACCACTGAAGTTAATGGTAAAACGTCAAGAATTTCAGTTTAACTGGTTACTTCACAGAGATACATGAATATATGCATACATAAATACGTGATTCAAACAGATATATAGAATGAGTTATGGCTAAGTTGGACAGGCTTAATTAGACTGTGGGAAGATCTAAGAGAGGCGGTAAGTTGGGAGTGTAAACCGAATCAATTAAAAATGTATTCCGCATTTCAAATAGAATAGTTAGTAATTAAGTGAGAAGCTTGATATGGATGTTAGTGATGATAATGGTAATGAAAAAGGGAAACATTAAGAACGAATTACCTACTTGTAAACAGACTGAATAAAAATAAACTAAGAAGCTTTGAGGAACAATCCAAAGCTCATGGGACCACGTAGGTAATAACGGAGCAATTACAGTACGAACAATGTAAGTGATAATGGATTATTTGTTTATTACGTGGTGGAAGACTCAAAAGAAATGAAATACAATAGGATAAAAGCAATAACAAGTGACACTGATACACAGAGGAAAAATAACGTTAGGGATATATGCTCACATTTCATTGGAAATGCCATCATGTGGGTTTAGTGTGACTACCGTTTTATGTACATATAAGGGTTCGATTTACGAATTTGTCTCACAAGTTTTATTCCATTGTGTGCTAACGGTTAGATTGGTAGC